CTTTATTTACTCTTTGCTAAGTCATGGTTGCTTAAATCTCACTATCCCCGAATTGTTTCTCCAAGTTCAGTTTGAGCGCACCTCGACTCCTTAAAAGTTAGAAAATAAAATAAAATAAAAAATTATTTCTAAGTATATAATCTGTACTTTGCATTCCCACTATACGCCAATTTTATTCAAATTGTAAAACACAAAAGGATCAACTTTATGCTCTGAAGGCAGCAATGATAACAAATGATGCTAATTTCCACTCAATTGTGGGTCATCTATGTCCCGTCAAATCCAAGGACCATCTTTGGAATGAGATTTATAATTGACTACCAAAATTCACTAAAATGCACCTCCAGGAAACGGATGTGGAAAACAGGTTGATTATCTGTATCCTTTGCCCTTGCAAGAAGCTTTTGATGCAACAACACATCTTCCACTCTATCCATGTTGATATCAAGCCCATAACTGAATCAAAACAATACCAAATAGCAATCAGTTGCAGCTCTATAATGCCTGGAGCTAAATTTGAAAAAACGAATAAATAAAATTTATTACGGAATTAATATATATGGTCGAAATCCCAAAAATCCAACATCATTATGTAAATTCCAAAAACATAAATATTTGAGCATCATTCTTTACTTTTTCTTGTTGGCATAAGGATTATTCTTACTCCTTGGAAGAATAAAGAAAAGCTCAAACAATACATCACTAATACTTTACACAAAAATACCAAATATTTTCCAAAAGCTTGATGGTTCAAGCTAGTGTAGCACATCAAAATCCCATATCCGTATATGAACCGGGCAACTGCAATTTAAAAGCACCCGCTTCCAAAAGAACTTGGAATGCATAAACACACACATGCTAAGCCAAATTACACACATGTACAAATTGGACAAGTTCTAATGAAAAGAAGGCATTCTTTTCCTTCAAACCATACGATACATTAAGTAACATGAGAATACAAAAGCAAAAGGAGGGGGCAAAAGCTCCTTGCAATATCTCAAGATATTCACATAAAGAGGATAAAAAGTTAAAAACAGAATTTAGTCGATTTAACATACAAGTACAGTTAATTCAAGTTTCCCTCACACACACACACACACACACACACACACACACACACACACACACACACACACACTTAGTACCTTGGAGGCAGGCGATTGAAGTGAGCTTCCAACTGCTCGCGAAAATCAGGATTACTAATCGCCTCCTCATTCCTATTCTCCATCAATCGACTGTAAACCTCGTCCCTCATCAAGTCATTTCCTCCACCACCGCCACCACCACTCCCGCCGCCGCCGAAACTGCCGTAGCTCCGAGGCGGCGACGAGCTCTCCCCTACCTCCTCCGCAAAATCCATATTCACAAAACCGCAAGTGCTTATATACACCAGCCGACGGCGCCCTGCAGCACAAAATAGTTGCTATCACGTGTTAGGGAAAAGAGGAGAAATGGATGATAAAGCCGGTCAAAGGACTTCCATGGGGACGGTATCTTGTATCCAACGGTAGGTGGAATCTAGGCAGGTGAAGGGTTGGTTCGGAATTTAAGCAAGAATCAAAGGGTAATCCCGTCCGACATTACTGTAGCTGAGCAGAGCTGTTTTGTGCCTAAAGGCAGCAGCGCCTTTGATAGGAGAGAGAAAATCTTGATCTTGATGCTTGAAGTTCCTTTTTGCGTTTTTGTTTTCAGATAAAGACCATGGACGACTGCTGGTAATGTGGGTTCTACTACCTTTCGAGCCGTGACTGTGTGTGTGTGAGAGAGAGAGAGAGAAAGGTGTGTGTAGTGTGTGAGAGAGGAAGGGTGTGGCGTGTGAGTGTGGGACTTGGGTGGGGGAAAGTGGGGCTGAGAAGTGGATAGGGTTCAGGGGAAGTGAAAATAGTATTTTCACCTGTAAATGTACTAAATTTTTCACGGCTCATAAAGTAATTTTTTCGTCCTTGTTTGGTAAATGGCGGTTAGTTGTTAGTTGTTAGCGGATTGTATTAGCTATTTTGACCAGCAGATTGTATTAGCTATTTTCATCAACTGATTGTATTAGCGGTTTGTAAAAAAGTGCTGTAAAATTAGCTATTTTAATTAGCTGTTAACATATAAAACTAGTACGAATCTCGTGCGATGCACGACTCATAAAGTAATTTTTTCATCTCAAAGAATAGAAAATTGTGCAGTAAATATGCGACAATTGTACGATAAATATTCAACAATTATATGTAGTGAGTTTGTATAAAGTTAAAGTGTGACGCTTATGCGACTGTTATGCGATCCATTTGTGTAACCACTTTATGGGAAGCAAATATCAAATTATGAGCGAGTAGTGTTAAAAAAGTAATATTTATTCATACTCAATATACTGGGTATGTTGATGTTGATGTTGATGTTGACTCAATGAAACATACTTTTTCTCGGGAAACGCAATAAATGACAATTATAAGGGTTTATTTGGTAGATGTAGTGTGTGAGAAAGAGAAGGGGAGCGTAAAATGAGTCGATCATGAGTTTGGGTAGCTTGTTTGCTAAACGAGTCGAACTCAAGCTCATTTAATGTTTGCTTAGTTAATGAATCGAGTTATACTCGACCTCGATGAGGCTAAAAGTATAAATTCAATTGAAATCGTTAAAACTCGAGTTCGACTCATTATATTGAAAACGAGTTGAGTTATAACTTGATTACTAACTTGTTAAAACTCAAACCCGACTCACTCGTTTACACCTCTATGTGGGAATTGGGTGGGGGAAGAGTGAGAAAGAGAAGTGGATAGAATTCTAAAAATATAATAAATAGCAATTATATTCCTTATTAATTCGCAATATCTTGAGTTTAAATTATAGATTCCTCTGCTTCAAAAGTTTATTTAGCATAATACGTAGTATGTATTGATCATATAAATATGTATTATTCTTATTTTTTATAATTTAAAAAATATATTATTTGTATTTTATTTTTAATAAATAATATATTAAATTAACCACTAACGACTTTTGATTTCACATTCATATTAATAATATAAAAATAATTTTATCTATCTTTATAAATAATATTTATATTTATTTATATAAACAATTTGAGAATTGTCAGTTTAAATTAGTATGTAAAATAAAAATTAATAACATACCGTAAAACAATCATTTTGGTGTATTGTATATATTTAGTTAGACATAGGCCCCGTTTGGAAGATAGCGGATTGAATGCAAATTAGCTGATTGAACTTAATTGAGAGGTTTGACCCGTCAAATCCGCTATTGAGCATGTTTGGTAAATAGCTTATTTGATAAGCTTTTTGGACTCAAAACTCTAATTTAGAAAAAGCTCATTAGAGGAGCTTTTTGGGGATAGAGGATTCACAATCTACTATTTTAATTTGAAACTTTTTAATTTGTATTATTTATTTTACAATCTACATTGGTTTATAGTGCTAATAAATAATAATATGTCATCCATATGATTAATTTATCTAGAAAAATGTAAAATTCATAACTTCTTAATCAAGTGTTAGTAAATTTAAAAAAAAAAATATTTATAAATTACCAACTAAAGAATATTAAATGTTTTAATATATTATTATTAAATGAATACATACTAAATAATAAAATGTCCTTATTGGTAATTTGCAATGTCAAACATCTATAAGCTTTCAGCTATTTACCAAACACTTATTTAAAAACCGCTAATGCAATCCGCTGGTCAAATCAGCTAATATAATCCGCTATCCGCTATCCGCTAATACAATCCGCTATCCGCTATCCGCTATCCGCTGATCGCCAAACAAGGCCATATATAATTCCATTAGAGTGTGATTGGTTGCAATAATGGAATGAGCTTGATTATTTCTCTTTTCTATTTAAGGCTTTATTCGTGTGATTAAATATTGCCTATTACCTTGTTTGCTTGAAAAGTCGTTATAATCATTAAATAGATAAATTACATTTATATCTTTCATTTATAATTGAATTTGCAAAGTGTATCTTACAATTCCAAATCTAAAAAATAGCAATAAATTCAACAAACAAAATCACACTCAAATCCGAATGATAATACAAAAGCTTTGCCGCCCTTGTGGTCCTACCCGGCTCGATTCCGGATTAGTCGGTTCCCCTGTGGATCTGGAAACCGGAAGGTCCCTGTACCAAAAAAAAAAAAAAAA